TCAGCCCTTGGTAGGTCTCAATCTTCTCGTGCTCCTTTTTCCTGATGTTGCTGTCTGCTGGGATTGCCAAATCTGTCACTAATGCCATGTTCTGTTCTTTGTCCACCACCACCCACCAACTTTGACTTCCATAACTTTACTCTTATTTGAACCTGCATATAAGTGGTTTTAAATGTTCATATTCTCACTGCTGATTCATGGCTGACCTTATGCACTGAGTGGTGTCGTACAGATCTCAATAATGAAGATGTTGCCTGGGCTCCAAATGTAAATGTCAGTTTATATAGCCTCATATTACCTTTTTTATTGCCTCATTTTTATACATATGCTTAGATTCAACTATCAAAAGAACATCAGTGTTTCCCTGCAATATATCACACTGCCAAATTAGATTATACTGTGAATGTACAGATTATTTGTTGCTGAATAAAGAATAATTTTCATTTAAATAGCAATATAAAACACAGATCTGCCAATAAACCTTCAACAACCAGGGAAAGATATAGGAAACTAGAAAACCAACATTCAACAACAATGCCTGGCAAGACATTTTGCTTATGAGCTGCAGGAAGTCTTCCTCACCACTGACACAGAGCAGTCCACAGAGTCAAAAAGAGACAATATTTTAAGAGCATAGAGTCAGAGGTGGAGGGCAGAGCTACTTTTCTGCCAGCTTTGGACCAGTGATTCATCAAACCCTCTGTGTGTGTGTGTGTGTTGTCAGTTAATTAATCATTTAATGCTTACAAACTAAACTAAATACCTAAATAGGTATATAAAAAATTAAACACCAAAGGTGTCAGGCAAAGGTCATATAGAGAACAAACATGTGGAGATACATCATTTATAAAATGTATCTCATTTTATCATCATCATTTAAAAAAATAAATGAATAACCACCCTGCTGTCTTTGACAGTTTCATCTAGTTACTCTTCTGCTCCATCCACCTGCAATCCCCCCGCTCAGACAGGTCAAACAGTGGACAGGACAGACGATCCAAACTTGCCAACAGTTTGTCTATTTGCAGCAGCAGCAGTCCTGGTAAGAGCTCCAAAGGAGATTAAGCCATACTCCTAAGTCATACTGTGTGTGTGTGTGTGTGAGGTGACTACTCAGTTGGAGTTAATATTGAGATCCAGGGTTAGAAAGAGCACCTAGGTGTGTGCATGTATGTGTGTATTCGTATGAAGTGAGGACATTTTGACCGGTCCTTGACCAACCTTCAAAGAGTTGGATCAGAATCCAGTTTAAGGTTAAGAAGAGAGAAAATTAGATGTTACGGCATTTAGTCTTGAAGGCATCAGGGAATGCATCATGTCAGTGAGTATCTTGACAAAGTCAGAGGTGCAAACAAGTGTGTGAGCGTGTGTGTGTGCGATTCTAGAAGATTGCATAGATTGTGAGAAGTGTATGACACTAAACTCGATTATTGGATAATATGTAATACTAAATATTATCCAATAAAACTAAACTACTATAGATTGTCGTCCATCTGGACTCTGAGCTACAGTGTGTGTGTGTCTTCCAAATGGCCAGGTAATGCTTCTATTCTAATCAGAAGTAGCACTGAGCTGTACACGTCATCAGGAAGGCTCTCCTATTGGTTAAGAGCTTAGCTGCATCACTGCTGCCAAACACAGCGGCTCTCAGCACAGAGCAGCCTAAGCAGCTTCCCTCCTGCTGACACTACACCTACAGCATGGTCACATGGACCTGTGAAGACCTTTAGTGTGGTCCATTTTTATTGTTGGTGTAGTAAACAGCTGAATCACATATGGAGATGGCAGCAGGGGTTGTTTTTTTTTCGCAGATGGTGGGATGGGGTCGTTATATAAAAATGTCCAAGTGTTTAACAAAATGATATACAAAGGAAAGAGGATCAACATATGGGCTGTCATCATGGTTCAAAGCGGTTCAGTGCAGGAGCAAAAAAAAACCCAAAAAGTGTCTTCAGAGCCACATGCTGGTTCTCCTACTCTCCACAGACACAAACAAGTGTACAACCAAAGACCACGCTGTCAGGGAGGGTCTGCAGTGTTGCACACATCAAGTCACGGTCTCATCAGCCCCAGACACATCTTTTGATTTGTACACTCCTGCCAAAATGAGTAGTTTTACCAACTGTACCCATACATGTGCCTCCCCCTTTGTCATCTCAGTGACATCACTCTCAAATGTTATGAAGAGCACAAATGCTGATTTTATGTCTTGGACATGGCTGACAGCATATGTGGTGGGGCCTGGAACTGTTGCTTTGATATTAGCAGCAATAAGTCTACCCTGTTGTTCAAGTGGTGAACCAGACCATGATAACTTTTCATTTTTTAAAGGAAACGTGTCTGCTGGTGGTTGGGACAACAGTAGGGTCAGCACTAAGGTTCTAATTCTCCTCAGAGGAGGATGCCTCATAAGCGGGGTCCTCCTCAACTCCTCCAACTCAGACATACTGTATTCTCCTCTTATCACTTTCAACGGCAAATCGCTGTGACAAAACCTCGCCAGCAGAAAAACGTTTCTTAGATATTATTTTCAACTGAGAACAAGCATAAACAGAAAGCACACAGAGCACATGATTTTTACTGCTAAAATATCCTGAGGTCAGACTGACCCAGAGAAACACTGATGCGACACAATTCGTAGTAAATTGGTAAGAACATGCAATGAAAACATGTCCAAAGGTAAAGATTCATGGTTCACAATCACTGGCTCACTTTGGTAACATCCAGCTATATTCACACAGGTTCACACTGTGACAGTTTCTCTGTGATACTCCAGCTATATGCTCATGACTTTATGATCTTCATCATTACTGTAGATATAAATCATCCAGTATCATGAAATTATCTTGAAGACTGGCCTGCTTTTTTTTTTCTACGCAAGCTGAACAAGTAATCTTTGCATCTCTCCTCTCCTTTCCCTTCGTCACCTGAATTTGAGGAGGATATTAAGAGTCCATCATCACACAGTGAAAAGGCTGCTTCACCCAAATTACCAAAAAATTCAAATAATCCACAGAGTCAGAAGGATTTATAGGGACTGTTTTTAATCGGAAGAGAGCACTTCCACTGAAACCTATTCACTGTGTTTTTGGATCATCCAGAGTAACACAGACACTGCTCTTAGGGAATTGTAATTTTTTCAATGATGAGCTCTGAATTGAATTCATGTCCTCTGAACAGGGTTAAGACGACAGTGTCCTGGACAGATAAAACCCAGCCTGTAGGCGTGCATTAATACTGCTTTAGGACAGGTTGTCTTTAGCCCTTTTCAATGGTGAGGACCATAATACAGTCAAAAACTGTGTTAGTATGGAGCATTGAAGGAAGACAGACAGCTCTTATGGCCCCTGAAGTTTCTACATGGATCTACAGGAGGATGTTAATCATAGAGCAGGAGTTTAGTGGTTGACCCAGACTCATTTTGAAAAATAACTGAGACTGAATATAAGTACTTGAGTATTACACAGTGGGAAATCATCAAGTTTGTGTTGTATTGGAACTTGGACATGCATTTCATTCACAGTTATAAAGGAGCCTAATTATTCCTTCCACTGTGTCATATTTGGTCCAATGATGAAGTGCATACATAGGTTTACTTGAACTTGCAGGATAAAACTGAAATTATGATGTATCGAGGTATTAAAATGTATTTAAATGTTATTAAATCTATTAAAAAATATCAAAAGTAAAAGTTCTCAAAAGAAGTCCCCCTGCTTCCTCAGTTCTGTTACTATGTGAAGAAATGTTTTTTAAAACTGGTGAACTTATGTGATTTAGTTTTGCACTTCAATGAAGGGTCTAACAAGAGACGGTTAAAAAAGGTTTGTCATATCTTCTAAGTATGGAGGCTATGAATCACCAAATATAGTGATTTCATAGCTGTTGGTCCGAGTAGAGCTGAGGAGTCTGGCTTTTTCCATTTGACCCCATATTTCACTTTTTTTTTGGACCGTCAAAATAAAGGAAAGCTTTGAAAAGAAAATTGTTCAAATGAATGATATATATATGTGTGATATCTGGAACATTTCCCATTGTGCAGTTTAATATGAAGGTCCACACCTCCAGTGTTAAGGCTTATATTTTGGGAATTGCTTCAATTCTTTTTATTATTATTATTGAGGCAATTTTGAGTGCCTTGATATGAAAAACTCATAAAAGTCAAAAAACTCAAAAGTGGTAGAAAAGTACAGATTCTAGAGTAGTTTGAAATGGGTGTGGCAAAATGGCTCTACAGTGCCAGCCCCTCAATCTTGTTTCACTGATTCGGTACACACACAAATATGCTAAACCCAACAAGAAGTCAGCCATTTTGAATTAATTGTCCATTTTGGCTGATTTACAGATTTTTTATTTTAACAAACTCTTCCTAGAGCTTTCATCAGATCAACTTCATATTCAGGGAGTGTCATTTTAATTCCATGCAGATTAAAAGTTGCATAAAGTGTGAGTGAAACAGCTCTATTTGTCTGTATTAAGTCATAGTCATAGCGCCACCTACATGTAACAGGAAGTAGGCCTCACATGACAACTTTCATTTGATTTACATTAAATGTTCAAACAGGAAGTGACACGTTTATCCTTCCTGCGTTGCCTAAACACATATGAAAACAGGTCAGTTTCAGTCGGTCCATGTCCGGTCGCTTCCCCTTCGCCATACCTAACCCCAATTTGCACAGTGGGAGGGCCTTAAGTGCTGCTTGCAGATTACCTTCTTTAGATTACATCACTAACAAATAACCAGCGTCAGACTTTAGAAAGCTTCTCCAGGGACAAAGGAAAAATAATATTGCTGTTTTCACAAGCTAAAAAAGACTAGTCTACTAACTTTGATGTGTAACATGAAGGACTGGCATAATTACTCTCTTGAACCCTAAAATGATTTCAACCTACTCTAGCCTGCAGCCATTCTCCCTCAAAGTGTAGTTCTACCGGGCCCTGGTGATCTTAGAGATATTGTAACTGTAACTTGATTTTAGAGAAGTGTGCACAGTTGTTGTTACCTTTGCGGCCACAGATGAGCCGGGTTTCTCCAGGAGATCCCAGAGCTTCTGTCGTTTGTCAGGACAACAGCCCTGCTCCTCCTCTTCTCCATCCTTCTCCCTTAGCGTCTCTGCCTCCCTCCTCAGCTCCTCATTCATCTGCTCCTTTTTCTGGTGATACCGTGCTTGGCAGCAGGACTCCAGGTAGATTTCATCAATACCCCAGTAGTCCAGCTCTTGGCCAAAGGACAGGGCACACATCTCCTCCATCATGTGCAGCTTCCCTGTTCGGTAGAAGTTCAGGATGGAGGAGAAGGCCACCGGGTGCCGGTCGAAAAAGTACTCATTCTCAGTGAGGCTGTAGTCATCGCAAATCTCCAGCAATGACTCATGGGTGTTGCAGTCTCTCAGTCGTCCTAGACGGGTTCTTGGCAACCGGTCTAGTGTTCTCCATAGAACTTCATGTGTGAGGCCTCCAACATTAAGCCTGACCCGCCTCGAGCGGGCCTTGATCCGTATGATGTCGATTGGCTCAGGTGGGAGCACAGGTGGTGCCGTGGATCGGAGGTTTGCTCTGGATGTGTTATAACTCCCTCTGTCTGTCATGTCTGCTCTGTGGGTGCTGCTGTCTTACTAAGGAGGTCGAGTGTGTGAAGGTGTGTAGCTTGTGAGTCCAATGATGGTAAGGTGGGGATTGGTCCAGGAAAGGTTGTGCAGGCCTACCGAATGGCTGTGCTCAGACCACTAAGCTCTTGGTTAGATCCATGCCTGGAAAAACAAGACATAAAATATGATGCATGTTTTACCAGAGCACTATAAACACTAAGTTCTAATGTTGTGGCTGATCAATGTATGTATGAATGCATATCATCAATAAAACATCTCTGTGTAATTATCTTTTAAATCAATGGGGTTAATGAAATAAAATATTTATTAGTCTCCTCTCCATTTTCAATTTGTTGTTCAGTGTCAGAATCCAACTCTGGTCCAACACCCTGCACATAAAGGGTTAAATGGTTTGTATTTATATAGAACTTTTCTAGTCTTGATGATCACTCAAAGTGCTTTACAGTACACTTTTGCCATTCACACACACATTCATACAGTGCATAAACTGCATGTTTGTCATGATGAATACCAATTTTAAAGAATGAAATCCAAATGAAAGCCTTTCTCCTGTCAGTCCATAAAGGCTTATGTTGTCGTTTGAAGTCCTCTGACTGTGGGACCTTTATCTGATTGTGTAATAGAGTTAAAATCCCAGTAGTGGCATTAGGCTTCGTCTCCCCTGGCTCAAGTCTGCCTTAGTTAATTATAGACTGTCTATCTCCTCCTGGGACACTCATAGGACACATGGCTACGTCAGGGACCAAGCTGCTACGTCACTGGTAAAAAAGAAATCAATCTTCTCCGGTCCTTTCTTTCTAAAATAAAATTACATTTCATTTATTTAGACTAATCAACTCAGTGCACAGTTTATATCAGAGGGAATATTAAACCAAGATTCACTTATTTGCCATTAATGGTTGAGTAATAGATTAATAAGGGTGTAAGCTTACAAGCTGACTGCTTTTCTTTATCAAACCAGACCAAATCAGTCACATAGTCAGTCCTACATCAGTGGATGTCAGTTAAATGATGGACATAGAATCCAGAATTAGGGTCTAACGGGACAGCGTTCATTTCTAATTCATTGTCAAGAGATTAAAAGGACTCAGGCTTAACCCGTGATTAGTCCACAGTAAGTCTAACAGCTACAAGGTGGGCTGGGTAGAAAGAATATGTGGACCAATACAAAACATGCTCAGGTCTGTTTTACTGTCTCCAGCCCATCATCACAATCCCACCAGAGTCTGTAAAGTCAAATAATGTACAGGTAGCTCACCTCTATGCAAACTGCTGATATTTTGGAAAAGCCGAACTCTGGTACTTCCAGGAGGTCCCACCATAGTACCTGCCAGGTTATCTCAGCTGCTTTGCCTCCCCTTCAACCGCTGATTCATGAAGCCCCCCGATAGCACTCAGACCACTGGAGATCCACATTCTGGCAAGAAACAAAATCTATCAGCGCAGGAGGAGAAATGTCCCAGGCAGTGCCTCAGCGGTGAGCGCCATGAGGAGACACACACAGTGAGCACAGAGAGAGAAGTGTGAACCGGCTGTGGCCCGGAGGAATAAAGAGAGTGAGAGAGAGAGGTGGGGGGGGAGGGAGAGAGAGAGAGAGAGAGAGAGAGAGAGAGAGGGGAGTGAGTGGAGTGAGTGGCTTGAGGAGTTCAGCACCAAGGACAGCTCCAGTTTGTTTCCACCTGGATTCCTCTCTTCTTTTCTTTAACTTGGCAGACAGGCCTCAGACACCGCTGATCGGAGCACTCAGCCACGTCCATTTCATGCACTTAGGAGCATAAACTGGTTGCGATCGTTACATTTCTCCTCCAGACTAAATTACTGATGCATCTGCACCTTAAGATTTTTCACTTTCAAAGGATACCTTTGTTCTTTTTCAGTTAGTTTGAACTTGATTCTAATATGTGTCACATACAGTATAGAAGTGTGGCTGTACCAGTAATAGTCCTCATTGACGTGTTTTCTCAGCCTATGACAGACAGCAGAGAGGTTGAGATTCCTCCACTCAAAGAGCCAGAGCATTAAAAAGAAGCCAGGAAGTATCTTCATTACATAAACAGTGTACCTAAATATAATGATAATATTCAGATGTGAGTGTGCGAAAGTGCATTCTTTTCCAGTAGGGAGATGTTGAATAGCCTACTTCCTTAAAAATGGAGCAGCCAAATTTACTTCAATATTCGGATTAGATAAAAGATTCTTACTGATGTTACAGAAGTTGAAAATTACCATTTCAATTTATTTAACTTTTCTATGTAGAAATCATTATTCAGACATGACTTCAATTTACAGTGATTTGCTTATTCAGGACCCCTGGTGGCTGCAGGGCCCAAAACAGAAAATAAGTTCACCTTTACTTTTGAAATAACTTTATTTGTATTTTTGTCACAGAGAAAGAGTTTATACATATACAACAAATTGGGAAATCAAAAATGGTTGAAAGTCCTCATGATCAATAAAAGACAAAAAACACATTATTACAATTTATAAGGAGATTCAATGCCAGGGTTTAAGTGTGTTTTGCTTTATACTTAATTATTTAAAATTTTAAAGTTCAGTTATCTTTTTGAGCACCACCTTTATGTATTTGAGAATTTATGCAAAATAAATGTGTCTTTATTTCACCAAATAAACAACTCAAACTGAGCTGAGCTGTGAGAGTTGAGTAACAGATGTTAACCTGTGGAACATATGTAAATTCAGAAACAATGCATCCATGTTTTCTGGGAAAATATCAGGAAGTGCATTTGAATGCAAGTTAAAGTGTTACGCAAAATTCAGCTCTTATTCCTAACTCTGGGGTCTCAAATGAGAGCCTATGTTTCACAAATGAACTGTGTAGCACTGCAGCTTTGTGCCTTTATTCATTCACAGTCACACTTGTAATATCGATTTGTTTTTGTAAAATTATGTTCATCTAAGACAGTGAAGTCAAATTGAACTGAGAGCACTGACAATTTGGTCATTACTAATGTAAGTTAAAGGTCAGAGCATAGACTGTTTGGTGAATTCACTTACTATCTAACAGAGCAGAGAGCAGCCATGATGTCAGTGTCCTGAAAACAGGATGAAACTCCGATTTATTGGTTTACAAAGTACACAAAATTCCTTCCGTATTCATATATCATTAATAGAATGCTCTCCCTTATTTGTGCATCATAATGCAGCTTTAACATTAAGACTCAACATCAACAGGTGTACATGCATAATTAAATAAACAAAAAAACAATGGTATTAGAACATATAAAATTGCATAACTCATTCTACCAGCATTGTATTTTTTAATAAAAAATAATTATTACTAAGAAAAGGTTAGACAAGCAGTAAACACAGACAGGGAAGATGCTTCAATTATTTACTTGATCCACTTGGAAAATCAAATCAACTTTTTTTTTTAGATATTAAGATGAAAAAACAAAGTCGTGTTTCTGAACACAGCATGTGTGCTGATGGCAAACAGACAGATGCCAGTGGAGTGCATACACAAAGTACTGGAAGGGGGAGGGGCTAGTCATATAAGCCATTTTCAGACATGAACTCTGGAGGAATGTCCGTAGAATTGGGTCCGGCCTTCTTTCGGAGGGTACCTTTCACACATGAACAACGCAGCTAGGACTCTTGGCTCAGACGTGTTCAAAACAACACGAAAATCTCCAGAGTGTTCAGGTGAGGGGAGGTGCAGCAGGCAGAAGCAGGATGTAATAGATTAATTCCGCAACAAGAGATCATGTGTATTTGTTTACAGCAAATCAACACCCGCCCTTATCACCCAGAATTCTCTCTACCTTAGTCGGTGACATCTACGTGTATGGAACACTTTTTCATCCACAGATATTTTTCTTCTTTAATTTTTGCTTCTGTTGCGTGATCAACACACCCACTTACTTGTAGTGAATGATGCAGAGGATCTCCTGCTGCGTTCTTACATCAGCTCCTTCGGACATTCTGCTGAGTTTTTACAATGGGACTGGCCGGAGAAACTTCAGGTCCAAGGGATCTCACTCTGACATTTGCATTCTCAAATACAGCCCCTCCGAAGAATGTCCGTATGTTCTCAGGAGTTCAGTGCATGTCTGAAAGCAGCTATACAGTACAACAGAACAATACTCTGGTCCCAAACACTGAAACAATAACACCACCCTGAGCTAAAATATAATGACAGCTCCAATTCATAAATGCATTAACAAAATGCATAGAAAGGTCTGCATCCAAATCCTCTGATCTGAATTGTTGTTAACAAAGGAGAGTCAACAGGGAGAGGACATGAGGGGAAATAAACACAACCTAAATATGTACATCCAAACAATAGTAGAGCACTATCATTACATTGTTTTGTTGCTTTTTTTCCTCCAGTTGAAGCTCAAGTTTATTGGTATGTTTGTGCTGAGGTAACACTTCCAGCAGAGGATGTTAGGGTCTTTACTTGTGTTCCAGTCGCAGTGGCTGCTCCATACCATTAATGGTTAATGACCGCAAGTGCCCGTCCTCCTCCACCTCCACCCGCTCCTGACCATTCTCCACAATTCTGTAGGAGGAAAGAACCACAGGGGGGAAAGGGTAAGGAAGAGAAGAGCTTTGAACCAGGCTTTATTCATCTAGTAAAAAGGTTTTTTCTTCACTGAGCAAATGTCCCATAATAACTTTATTTAAACACGTAGAACTCAGAACTCTTTAAAGCCCCTAAAGGTTTTAACTGGTTATGAACATGTCTTATTTTAATAATGCTGCCTCTTTATGACATAAGAGAAGAGACAATCAGGGAGAAAATTAGCTTTTTCTGTAAACTATTCTCAATGGTTGGGACGGATTACCTGCAAGGTCAAAACAACGATTTACGGCAGTCATTTAGGAGAAGGGAGAGGAAACAGAAGCCGGGAAACGACTAGCTAAATGCTAGGCTAAAGGAAACCCATACAGAACAGCCCCCCGAGCCTGTTCCTCGACAACTCCAGGTCAAGATGGATGAGATCAGTATGAGAATTATGATAAAATACCTCATCTCTATGCATTCTGCAAACAGCTGTGTGTAATGATGTGGTTTGATATTCCAGTCAACTTTAAGCCCCTAAACATTCACTTGGTATTGTCTGAAGTGGGATGTTCCATCTGCCCACAATAATTATCTGTAAGTATGGATTTCTCGTACCTGAAAACATTTAGTCCACAGAGGCACCAAAATTAACAAATATGAAGTTCCCTGTAGGAGCTTTAAGAAGAGCCACAATGCTTGGATATGTCATGTTGTCTACAGCAGTGTTGTAGCCACATCCCAAAAAAACATAAAACCCAGAACTGCTAACACACCACTAAGGTTGGGTATCACTTGGGTTGTTTGCCAATTCCTCTGCGAAATCAATACTTTTGAAACGGTTACGATGACTGAACGGTGCCGGAACCGATACCTTCTTTTAAAGGAGCACAAAACGATGGTCGACAATAAGAACAGCTTTTTTGAATTGCTAAGTTCAAAGTTGCTAATTGGAAGTTGAAATTTGATTAATTAACTTTTAACAGTTTAAAATAAACAATGTACAAGTGGAGTGCAAAACTCTTAACAAATTTACAAAACTAAATACATAAAACCTAACGCAACAACAGCAATTAAACACTAAATAACTGTTTCAGTACTTATCACATTAAGAGACTCAGCTCAGCTCTAAACTCAATATCAACACTGTCAGCATGTGCTTGGCATGGGGTCATGCAGGAAGTCAAACATGATATATCCCGCTTTCAAATGTATCTTTACGCAACAAAGTGACAAATTAAGTTTGTCGTGTTCATCCTTGTACATGGAATTCTCAAAATGTTGCTGCATGTCCTGGTATCGGAATCCTTTCACATGAAATACAACCACACTCATTTAGCTGTGGAAACTTTGTTACAGGGTCTGAATACCTTTTAGTAGTGATCTTTCTGCCGTTGATGATCTTGGTGGAAGTGGACACAGAGCGGAAGTTGCCCATCCCTCCTCCACCTCCTCCCCCAAAGGATGAGGAGGAAAAAGAGGTGAAGCCTCCACCTCCCAGACTGCCCATTGTTGCCATCTGACCCATGTGACCCATATGACCCATGGTGCCCATGGAGCCAAAAGAACCAAAGCCTGAGGTGAAAAGGAGAAAGACTCATTGAAGCAGATGACGATGATGTGTTCATTCCTGAGCTTTCAGGGCAAAATGTTTTTGTAAATATTCTCTTTTCACTTGGGCACATCTTACCAGGGTCAAAATGTGAGAAGCCAGCACCAAAGGGTGGGAAACCAACAAAGCCTCCAAAAAATGAGCCACCTGCCCTGCTGCGATTTGCCCGACTATGGTGCTGTCGGCTGCTGCCAAAAAAAGGATCCTCGCTGAAAGGATCTGCACCTGAAAGAATAGGGAGGAAAAGAAAGGAGGTTATGCTTCAGGTTGAAACTCCTCTACATCTGCTTTTGAGTGAAAACAGATTTAGTGATGTCAGTTTGAACAACTTACCAAAAAAGTCAGCAAATGGGTCCCTGCCTCCGAAGAATTCCCTGAAGACATCTTCTGGGTTGCGGAATGTGAATTGTTCATGGAAATGATCTCCATTGTGGAAGTGACCCCCTGAAACAGGTTTAGGAAAACTCATGTAAATTTGAAAAAACTGGATGGAACCCCCAATATAACTGAGGAAGTCAATTCTGCTGTCACCGTTTTCCCTTATTTAGTAGAATTTCATGTTTCATATACATTTTCTTTTAGGTTGAAGCAAAAAAATACTTTGGTTACAGGTTAGTTTTATGTAAGTTTATTAAATGTACCTCTTCCTCCATTACTCCCCGTCAGTCCCTCTTTGCCATATCGATCATATATGCTCCTCTTATTTACTGGAAGAGGAAAGTGAAACATTTCCAAGTGTTAATAGCAACAAACAAATTCAACAAATAATAGAACCAGTAGGATCCCCGAAGAGGAAAAAGGAATCGTGTGCTTCATTAGAACTGCTCTACTGCCCTCAGACTGATGCTATTAGCTTCACTCCATTAACTCTGCAGTGTGTCCCATGGTATCTGTTCATTTGCAGACTTGTACAGACACTTGTGATACGAACCATCTGACAAGACTTCGTAAGCCTCTGACAGCTCCTTGAACTTCTTTTCAGCATCCTCCTTGTTCTCTGGGTTTTTATCAGGGTGCCACCTCAGGGCCAACTTCTTGTACCTTCACAGGGACAGAGGAAAGATGACTTGTACTGTTTTCTTGTTTTAACATCTTTTTAATGTTAAAGGTTCAGTGTGAAGAATTTTGTGATATCCAATGTTGAAGTTTCATGTTGCAGCTGAACACCCCTCACCTCACCCTGCCCTGCCAAACATGAAAAAGAACCTGTGGTAGCTTCAGTTGTCATAAAATCTGAAAAGGTGTTTAGTTTGTCCAGTCTGGACTTAAGTAACAAAACATGGCGGCCTCCGTAGAGAGGGTCCCCTCGATGTAAATATAGTATTTGAATTATTATATTTGAAGTATTTGAATATAAAGGGCCTTTTCTGGGGAAAAGAAAACTACAATTCATACAATTTAGAACATCATGAGGATTATTACACATTCAATTTCTGCCAATGGATCCCTTTCACCAAAATCTTACACACTGAACCTTCAAATGTTGTTTCTTCTTATATCAATGTTGTAAATATTGTAATTTTGTAGAGGTGTTCAGCCACATCTATTGTATCTCTGTCGGCCCTGGGAGAGGGATCCCTCACGTGTCGCCCTCTCTGGGGTTTCTAGGTTTTTTTCCCCTGTTAATTTTTAGTTTTAGTAGCTTTTCCTTACCCTTGTTGAGGGTTAAGAACAGAGGAAGTAGCACCTTGTTCAGCCATATGAGACATATTGTGATTTTGAACATGGGCTGTACAAATAAAAAATGTCTTTCTTTCAAAGATCCTACTGTTTGCCATTATAGCAAACCTGTTTCAAGTTATATATATCAGCTTCTTCAGCTGTTGCTAAAAAACTGCAGGAGTTATATTATAGGACACAGAGGAGCATGCAGTCCAGCATTACTGTGCATTATTTTATCTCAGTGTTACAGAGGCCTCACAGTTCACTTATCACTGTCTACAGGTGTATGACATTACTGCCACAGAAACATGGAGAAGGAAGCGCAATGAATATATACCAGACAGTCAGAGTTTTAGCACAACTGTCAGTAGGTGAATTGTAAATATTACTCGGGATTAATCAGTGAGTTGTTAAGAGAAGAACAGTCACATCCACACTAGTACTATTACACATAGTAATAACAGATGACCCAGTGCAGTTTGCTCTGCTCTTACAGATGGACGATAGAGCATAGAGAGGTATGAGTACAGAGGCAAGAAGAGGAGGAGAGGAAATGGCAAAGACAGATGAGACAAAAATAAAATCTCGTATCAGAGACGTCTGAATGGGACCCATTTTGAGTTATTATTACAGGATTCAATGTGTGCTGAACTGTTTCAGAGCTCCACAGCTGAGATTATCTTTCAAACATGATCAACTCACGCTTTCTTTATGTCATCCGCAGACGCATCCCTCCGCACTCCTAACACCTGGTAGTATTCCACCATGATGAGTGGATGAGAAACCTGAAAACACAGAGAGCTGCTGACAAATGTTACACATAAAGTTGCCTTAAATGGCTTCTGTCCACCGTACACCAACACAGCACTGAAATGACTGTCAGTGCTAAACCACTGGTTAGTGGCCTGGATCTTACACTGTGTCCACCATGCCAAATCAGATGTGACCAGATTGCTGTTGTGATAACTCATTCAGACTGCTTGGGGAACTCCAATCATCCACTAAACACTTCTCCACTTATCTCTGTCTCTCTGCCCCCCCCCCCCCCCCCCCCCCCACAATCATTTATTTATTTTAATACATGTCAATGACTGTGTCACTTTGTGCTCCCATAGTCCCTCTCTCTCTTTTTCTCTCTCATTTCAGATATCTCTGACCCCGGAACCTCAGGACAACAACTATTACTATTGTTACCATTATTAATTACAATAGTTCAGTCTTAATTATTAGATGAATTGTGCCTGTTATCAATAATAATGAATAAGCCTTTACAGTGCAGGTTACCTGGAGACTCTGTAGATGAAAGCAAGCGTGAATAGTTGTTTCTGTCAGCCCAATGATACGATGGTAACCTGTCCCCCACCTCTCATTCGATTTCACCTGGGACTGGCTCCAGCCCCCCCAACAACGCTCAAAGGATTAGCTGTACTGCATGTGCTACAAAAGGGCCAATTATTGTAACAGCAAATACATATTTCCTGTTTTACAAAAGCGGGACAGCCAAGGTGTTATGCCATACTGCTGACAGCATTGACATGCATTTCCTGCAGGAAGCTCTTGGTTTAGGAGGCTAATCAACAGCTATTCTAAGTGAGCACGCTCCACACTGATACGATTGTGCCAAAAAGGATAACGGCACCGACGTACAGCAAGGTCTTCGTCCTGGTTTGACTCAAAGCAACGGCAACCGTCAACGTGTCAAATGTAAGATTCACCTTTCAATACAAACCACATCTGACGGACTGAAACACCGACCTCTGCTCTCAAGCCTCCCGAGTGGCGCCTGCTTGTTTACCTGTGACCCTGAATGGCTGCTGCTGCTGCTGCTGCTGCCTGGCTAACGCCGATGAATAGAAAGAGCCACCAAGTGTATGGCTAGCTGGGGTTTATCACCAGCACAGCTTTGAATTACACTGCATTCAGCAACTCCAACCGGAGCACATAAGCACACTGAAACGCTTTTGTTCGTCGCGCTGGCTGCTGATATTAGTGGACCAAACACAAGCTGAGCGCTAGCTTAGCAGTAAACATCATTAGCTACATTAGCTATGCTATCAATGCTATACTTACCAAATTCAAGTGTAGTTGTCTGTGACCTCAGCGGGAATATAGGACAGAGGCGCGGGGTGTTACATCGGGTAAGACATGCGCTAAACAGGTTTATTCATGGTGGGCAGTGAATGGTCCTCAAATCGCATCTATGGATCAGACGATGCGTTGTTTCCCAGTTCTTCTTCCCTCTCTGGTGGTTTGTTGGCGGTGGTTAAAGTGTGTGTGGGCACGTTACTGCCACCAACTGGACACAGCAGGAAATGGACACAAAACACTGCAATCAGTAAGGAACCATCATACCCAAATCTCACTGTGCCTCCTCAGCATATACTGATCATCACTGATAACTTTAATCTCACAAGTAGGCTCCACGTCCTTGGCTGTGCCACGATCAGCAGCTTGGGCAGCCATTGTTTCAGTTTAATTTACTGACTTGACTTCGCTGCAGTGGTGAAGGGAAATAAATGATAGTGCCAAGTAGTCTTCATTGAGAGCTTGGACAATCAACTATTAACTGCAGTGTTCTTGTTTACAAATTGTATCAACTGGGTGCAATGACCAGTGAAAACTCCATTTTGATAATTAGTCACTGTTTGACATTATTTGATACTGACCATTGAAAAATATAAATAGAATTCACAGGTTAAGTGACAGGCATTTGTGTGGAGCCACTTTGATTCCAGTGTTATCTGTGTTGTGTAAAATGAAAAGCAAGAAAGATGAAGAGAATGAAGAACAGAAGCAAAAGTGAGGAGGCACTTCCTGTGAAGCTTTGAACTCTAATAAGGAGTCATGTCAGTCTGTTTTAACAAGTACAATTTTATTTTTTGTTGAGATTGGCATGGGATTAGGATGGAAAGAAAAACACATACACAAAACAGCAAATTGTGTTTAATAGGGATAACAGTATTTGGATGGACAAAGAGAAATGTGTTTATGTTATTGTGTCTGATGGTGGTAAGGCTGGAGATGCTGTCATGATTATTAGTTTTATTTGAGCAGCTTTGCAGTTGCCATGGAGGTCATGGTAGTCATCGTTGTCATTGTGATGGTGGGCACGGCGATGTCTTTGAAGATGGGCTGTGTGACACCAGAGTAGGACACTTTGTTCTCACTCAGGGTCCCGATGATCATCTGGCGCATGTCCCTGCTGGCATCACCACGCACTGCCAGCAATGCCTGGATGTGCTCCTCCCTATGGAGCGTAGGGGAGACAAAAACCTTAGCAGTGTTTTGGTAATGTGGCATCATCCGGCTCAGTGATCGCCACACAGTGGGTGCTCACAAAGCACCATAATGACAATTCATAAGATTCATGTAAAAACTCATCCAAGAGACTTGTATATGTGGTGAAATCTATAGTTTTATAATTTTATCATGTGCTTATTAAGTACCCTGGTACTGTGCATGCTGGACTGCCTTCATGGCTCACTGTGACAATGTGCATGTTTCATACTGTTGAAGTTCAGCTGCCTGTACCAAGAAACCGGATTTGAGGGTTTTCAAGTAAAAGTCTAATTTATCTCTAGGTTTTCAGTCCTACAAAGCCGGTTCACGTCTTACCAGTTAAATCAACATGGTAACTGCTAACCTGCTCCTTAGTTCAAGACAACAGAGCAAAACCTGTTAACTGCCCAACTACTCACGAATCAGATCACTGGAAATTCATTATTCTGTAGGATTCTGACAGGGGAAAAATAGCTTACAGTTAATGGTGTATTAATGAAGAGCAGCAGATATTTTTATAGATTAGGGGAATCATTTTGCTATTCCAGATTTTCAGTGTGTCCACTCCCGTATTTTTCTTTTCTCAACCCAAGTCTGCACAGAGTGCTTCCAGTTAATGAGGGAGTTTTTTTCGGTCCACAGTGGCCAAAGCGCTTGCTTGTTGTCCGAACTGTTAAGTTTCTCTATAATATTTTTTTAGGTTTTGACCTTACTATGTTTAAGTGGCGTGAGATAATTTGTTATGATTTGGCACTATAAAAATGAAATTGAATTAAATGACTAAAATCAATGTATTTGAAATATAGAGTGTGTGTGTGTGTGTGTGTGTGCATGTGCGTGCGTGTACCTGATGTCAGGATATTTGGACAAGAGAGTGGTGACTTCAAGGTACAGTAGTGTGGGGTCGGTCAGCTTAAAAACTTCTGCAATGGCAGTGATGGCACCACAAAGACGGTCTGTGTCTTCACCCTACAAAAGCACAATCAACCAAAGGTTAGGCATGCCCCTCCAAACTTCACAGGTTTTCCAGGTTATATTGTCTAAACAGTGAGAGCAGCAGAACAGCAACAACCTCCGTCATTGTGCACACTGGATCTGTTCAGCTACAATACAGCAGTGTACTCATTCACTGTACAGTCAAGGACAGGCGGACAGGGTTTACATGGCTGGTTCCTGTGGTTATTAGATAGTAATGACATATCAACCAGCAAATCTAATAATTATTGGATCTCAAACAGGTTGTTGTATTCAACACATGGCAGTAGTTTACCAGCCACTTCACACTGCGGTTTGCTCTAACATTACAGCCTCAGGGATAAAATAACATAAATGTCCAAGGGGTTGGGGGTTGATTAAATACACTTACTCTTGTGCAAGAAATTTGCATGAACCTATTTTAATGTATAAATCATTATCCATCTGAGCAACAATTAATCGACTAGTTGACTAATGTCCTGAACTAATGATAACCAGTCATCTATGAAAATCAACCCTACACAGTAGCTAATATAATTATAATGTTGCAATGTCACAATCCATTATATGTAAACTTACAGCCGCCAGTTTTCTGAAGAGGAACTTGAACTGATCAGCCTCTTTGATCATCCTCTCTGCTCCTTCCCTCCTCTCATCAGCGTTTTTAAAGGTGATCCTCTTCTGCATCACTGCTTTAATGTACTCCACCACCACCCTGCGCAGGGCCTCGCTTGTCATCTCCTGCGTACACCACAGCCAACATGACATTAGATCTTATGAAGAATCTTTATTAAGAACACAAGGTGGCACTCAAATCTCTACCACAGCCACGGATCTGTGACAATATTAGATTTCTACATGTTGGATTTTTTTTCAAGTCAGTCAGTTCCACACTGACAAACACATCAAACAAACTTAATGGAGACACCCTGCTAAGTGCCTCAGGTCAGTGCCATTTCTACCTGATTGAAGGGTTTCTTTATCTTGTTGAAGTCATTGAAGTAGTCCTCCACTGTCACACAGATAGTGTCCACAGCATGAGAGCCCATCAGCCACTTCCTGGTCAGCAGCTCATTCAGGTGATTCTGGTAAATGCATAGTCAAAAAGAAACTAATTAAATGGATTATTGATCACTCCAGTATTCTTATGTCAAAGGTTGGTTTTGTACTTTTTTTTTTACTCTCAATTAAGATAGAATGCAAAGGGTGCTTTAATTGTCTTGAGCTTATTTATGCATTGGCTAGTGCACACATGTGGATGTAGTACCTTTGACAAAATAAATGACATCAATTTAATAATACCATCTGTGAAGACACTGCAAATATGTTTTATAGGTGTAAACAACAATTTAACTTTGTTAACTACTTGTAAACCAACATTTCTACATGAGTTGTTTTACTTAGACTGGGATAAAACTGATGAGGCAGAATTCTATTTTACTATTATTTTAGTTAAGCATACATCCATTAAAAGTATGGAATAAAATACCAAATAATCCGTGGGTCACTCACTACAAATCCGTCTACTATGCTACTCAAGAGGGAAAAAGCCTGAGATTTAAATTGTTCTGTATATAGAACAAAGACCTTGCTACAAATACAACAAACACCTTTCACATAAACAGTAAATACAGTACAGTTGAAATGTCCTTACGTCAAGGTCTAGAAAGACTTCGTCCAATAGGAACTGACATCCTTCCTTAGCCACCTCATTGAGTGTCCTTTCTATAGCAGCATCACTGTCAGTGGCCTCTGGTGACTGAGAGTACTTCCTCTTCAGACTGTTGATGGACTCCCTGAGGAGCACACAATCAATTAATTAATTAGAATATGGTACACAGTAAACTGCAGTGTAATAAGTAAATATGAAATACAGTGTGAAATTATAAATAAATTGTTGCCCTAATTGTTGGTGGTTAAGTGTGCACACTTCAAGGATACATTTCTGATTAAAATGTTTAAGCATGAAAACCATACTGTCAAATGGATCATTTCGCATTAAAGACTGTGACAAGATTGAACCCAACATGGTAAGAAGAAGGGCAAGGACACCGTAAGTACAAAATGATTGGGAAACACTGCCTTGAGACAGCATTTGGCTTGGAAACAAAGATAAAATGCTACTTTCCTCATTTGCACTGAGATATATATATATTTTTATTTATTTAAATTAGGGTTTAAGCCATAAAGGGAGAACCAATTTTAGAAAATGCCATGCCTTGAAATTTGACAGACAAGTTCAGCAGAATGTGCTCAACAAAGAGGCCTCTTGGCCAATAAAAGTTGACCTTCTGGTTAGAGGATGATCACTCTAACCCCTGAGCCACAGCCCCCCCTTGAAAGTCAATTTCTTAACCCCTTAACTGGACAGTTTTAACTTTTCCACTTATAACCCAACTACCCTTTTCTTGTTCAGTGAGATAAGTGAGCTCTAGTTTGTCCTCTCAGTATTTCAAATCTGGGCTGGAATGGTGAAGTGTTGTTTCACATTGCTACTTTTAACAATTGCCATGGTCTCATAATATGAGACACACTGTTTTGAAAATGAACATGTAAGAGTCAGTTCAATCTTGATTTCACTGTCTACCTTTCTCTTCTTAAAACATGCCATGTAAAGATACTTTTCTTAATTTTCTCTGACTCACTGTTTATTCATCCTCCTCTCAGCTGCCCATTCAACACCTCCCGTTGGAAAGGGTTAGAATTCTTCTCAGAATTCACAGATTTGATAGGCTGAAGGGTGTCACTTGATATGATTTACTATGCATCCAATTGTTCCCTGGGCTGCTAATCCAGTGCCGAAAAGGCTAGAAAAGCTTTGCTGGTTAAAATACAAACACTGTGTCAAAATTTGACAAAAATATTTCCTTTCAAACTAACTCTTGAGAATTTCAAGTTCAGCATCTTGCCTGAAGAGGCTTCAGAATGCAGAGTGGGGGAGACCGGGATCAAACACTCCAACATTCTGGTTAGTGGATCACCCTCTCCATCTCCTGAGTAGCAATCCCATGAAACAGCTTAAATTCACCCACATCAATAACCTTAG